CTTGATGAAGAGTAGGTGCAAGTGACTTCTTGATGATTTGTGTAGTCTTTGTACGGCTGCATGCAAACTTTGTAGCTATCTTGCTGTCTGTAAACAAGGCTTTACACAGCTTTGTGAAGCAGTCTGCAAGTAGAAAGGAGATGTTGTGCTGTGCTATGAAGTTGGACCACATGACCTCAGCTTTGATAATACCTGAAAAATTAAAAAAAAAAAAAAAAATAAATCTACAGCATTTTATGAATACATTTTAGCCTTCTAATAAACAACCATTGGTTAACAATCAAGTCATTAATGAAGGCTGTGTTAGGAATTTTACCTTTATGACTTAATCAGATTAACTAAGAAAACAATGCAATAAGTTGTATCAACACGTATAATTTAATTATCATGCAATTAAGAATTCAATAGTGGTTTACTAACAGATTAAATAATTAAAATACTGTAAATTCAAAAATTATTGCGTGCATTTATTATTGCGATTTTGTCATTTTGGACTAAAATGCGATTTTATTTTTTGCAATATTGAGAAAAATCCTGTTTAATTCATATAAAAATTTCAAAATGCGAGTTTAAACTATTGCGATTATAACCCTGTCGCATTTTTCGCAATAATAAAAACATTGCAATAATTTCTGAATTTACAGTATTTACTCAATTTTAGATGATTATTAAATGATCATAATCAAAATATTGTACATATATTATCACTTTAAATATGACTAAAGATATTATTTATCAACAGTTAATAATTGACATTTCACAAATTAAACTGATGAAAACTTGTAAATGTTTACATTATAACAAATAAAATCATATCATTAGAATCAAGACCAAAAGACAATTTGTCAACGTATATTTGTTCCGCTTAACAGAAGTTCCACTGGAAACTTTGTTATAAACAATGTCATAATATCTGTTCCTATTGGAACAAATGTTCTATACCATTTATTCCGTTAGGAACATTTACTGTAATATTTATTCCAGTGGAAATAATATTCCAGAATATTGTTTCCATTTGGAACTTATATTATGAAGGAACTTCTATTCCTCGACAAATTAACTATTTATATTTAATTTATTAAAAGAGAAAAAAGACTAAAACAGTTGTGCCATAGTTCTATAAAAATAGTTAATGATATATTCAAAATTTTACCTTCATCATTTGGTCGAACGAAGAAGTTAGTGACAGGCTTGCAATTGGTGGTGTTCTGTGTACTACTAGCATAATTAATTCATGCAAAGTTATCAAATTTTTCACAATTTTAGCATTTGTGCTAATTTTCAGACGGTTTTTGTCTAAAATGGAAGTGGCTGCACTTGTGTTCAGTCTTAATATTTAAATGTTGTATTTGATGATTAAACATATTAAACATATATAAAGGTGGAGACTGAACACGAATGCGGCCACTTACATTTTAGACAAAAACTGTCTGAAAAGTGACGTTTTATGGCATATCTGACAGATTTTTCATATCTAAGCTTGAATTTGAGTGTCTTTAATGACCAAATCAGTTTAAATCGTTTACTTAAACTAACTGAAACGACTGAAGTAGACACTCATGTGTTTAAAAAATGTCAAACATCTTTCATCAAATGTACTTCAAATTTTAGGCAAAAATTAGCCCTTACCGAACCTTCTCCTTTCTTGAAAAATCCTCAAAATTATAATATTTCTTAAATCTAGACAAAATAGTACCCACAAATATCAATTAAACTGCAGTACATGAGATATCTACAATAGTTTAGATCACTAAAATTTGATAATTTAGATTTGTTCTTAACAATGGAGCAATAAGTACTTTCTATTCACTATTTTTATCATTTTCACTGAGCCTATGGGCCAAGTGAGTTATAAATATTACTTTTGTTATCAGTCTTCTTCTGTTTTAAAGTTTTGAAAGATCTTCTCCTTTGAAACGACTGAACCAATTTCAAACAAGATTGGGATGAATAATCATTAAGGACTAACTTATGTAAAGTTTGTGTTTTGTATTCTGGCGTCATTCAACAAACATTGGTGATATGGCTACAAAAAGAAAATGATGATAAATTGCATTAATTGTCCTATATCTTGAAAACAGTTTTATTAATTTATATTGTAATCGGCCATGTATAATCCCTTTTGGTACATAATCTGCACACCTTTGTTTGCCACAGGAATTCAGGAAAAAACTTTTTGTCACTTGTTGAAAACATGTAGTAAAACTCTGTATTTTCAAGTCATGTGTGATTGTTTGCAGTAGTTACATTTGTTCCTGTTTTTCATGATCAAGTAGAAGTTGAAAATAGCTGTAAATGATTCTAGAACATAAGTGTTAAAATAAGCCAAAATTGTAAAAAAAAAGAACAACTAGAAAAGTTGTCTTTGTCATTAACGGAGATAGGAAAAGAATTTGTAAATCACAAACAAATAAGTTGAGAGTGTGATGAAATTCCATACTTAATAGATATTAATTTGACCTGTTGATACTATTTGTAATGCTTTTTTGTTATTTAATTTTTACTTATTCAGGGTTATATCTCGTCTATATACCAGCTTTGATAAGTGTTTGGTATGACTATAAATTTTCACTCCTTCGTACTTTGAACAACAAAATTATTTATTTTGTAAAAAATATTTCCGTTCTGCATTCAAACTGTACAACAAAATTATTTTCATTTCCCTTTGTATATAATTGTATTTGGCGGCTTTTTGTTCAAGGTTGTTGTTGTTTTTTTTTTAAATTGTTTAACATCTCACAGCGGTATACTACTGTTGCCTTTATTTATTCACCCCTTATTTTATTGATTTTGTATTTACATTGTATCATAGATCAAATTTATTCGTTCAGTGTATGTTCAATTGTGTTAATATGTCTTTTGATTCAGTTAAGCCATTTCAATTGATATTTTATAGTGTGTCTTTCTATGTTGTGATGTTACACTATTGTTTCAGATAAGGGTGAAGGTTGGTACCTATTAAAACATTTAAACCCGCTGCATTTGTTTGCGCCTGTCCTAAGTCAGGAATCTGATGTTCAGTAGTTGTCGTTTGTTGTTGTGGTTCTTAAGTGTTTCTTGTTTCTCGTTTTTTATATAGATTAGACCGTTGGTTTTTCCGTTTAAATGGTTTTACAGTAGTCATTTTTGGGGCCCTTTATAGCTTGCTGTTCGGTGTGAGCCAAGGCTCTGTGTTGAAGACCGTACTTTGACCTATAATGGTTTACTTTTACAAATTGTGACTTGGATGGAGAGTTGTCTCATTGGCACTTATACCACATCTTCTTATATCTAATTACAAGAAATACGACTTTGAAAGTAAAACAGTGCAGTTTTAGTAAGATACATTCAATTTTTTCATCACATTTATATGTGAAGAACCTTTAGCTAAAACAAAACACATGCAGTTGTATGAAACACCAAATCAGAACAAATGACTGTTAATGTTTTGTTGTTTATACATCGCTATGCAATGCTATGAAAAGAAATTTGTAATTATTCATTTGATTTTGATATTTATCAGTAAAAATTGGATATATCACAAGATTCTTTTATTAATTTTTCTAGTTTTTACCTATTATCTCAAAAACAATATTAGACGGGTAGAAACTTTAAACAGTAAAAAAAATCTGCAATGCAAGATATATTTTGACAGATGAGTGATTTAGTCTCTTAGAAGCCCCTTGATTTTAATTCTTGTTATAATTTTATTCTTACTTATTGGCATACCTGTCAACCTATGAAAATGAAAATGCAGGTCATGACCTGCATTGAAGAAGAAAATCTCAGGTCATAACGCGTACAAACTTTTTATGCCCCTGCCATAGCGGAGGGGGCAGTAAGTTTAATCCTTGTCCGTCTGTACGTCCGTACGTCTGTACGTCCCAAAATTGGTTTCCGTTCTCTAACTTAAGTTTGCCTCATCCAAATGTTATCAAACTTTACACAATGCTTATTACCACAAAACACAGATCAAGTTTGAATTTTGGTAGCGTCACTTTAACGTTGTAGAGTTATGCCCCTTTATAAATAGTTAAATTGCAAAATTTTTCATTCTGTTCTCTACCTTAAGTTTGCCTCAACCAAATATTATGATACTTATACACAATGCTTATTACCACAATCCACAGATCAAGTTTGAATTTTGGTGGCGTCACTTTTACTGTTCTAGAGTTATGCCCCTTTACAAATGGAAAAATTGCTAAATTTTTCATTTTTTTTCTAAAAATATCAATGATGTCATTGTTCAAGTAATTTTTAAAATTGGAGTTATCTTCCTTTGTCCATGATTATAGTTGAATCAACTACAATCAATGCCTTATACAATGCAATGTTTAATTTTGCCTTCCACTGATAAAACACAGATCAAGTTGAATTTGGGTAGTGTTACTTTAACAATTATTGAGTTATGCCCCTTTATAAATCAAAAAATTGCAAAATTTTTAGTTTCCATTCTGTAACTTAAGTTTGCCCCAACCAAACATGAAACCTATACACAAGACTTATTACCACAAAACTAATATCAAGTACAAATTTGGGTAGTGTCACTTTTATTGTTCTTGAGTTATGTCCCTTTATAATGTTGTATGCAAGCGGGGGCATCATCTGTGTCCATGGGGACACATTCTCCATTTATTTTTATGTATTTCCACATGTACAAGATGTAGCATGGTGAAATCATTATGAATATAAGTGCACATGACAACAGATAATTACTTTTTAAAAGAGTCATTTACCCTAAGAAATGTAGGTCAAGGTGTGAATTGATGGCTGCTTAACTTCCAGCAGCAAATACTAGGGTATTACATGCTAATTCAGATGCTAACACCATTCTTTGTTCTTACTGCTCAATGCTGCAAGTTGGCAAAGAAGCAGCATCAACCAATTTTATATACATATGTACTTACAAAGTATTATTTAATTTAGATTTGTTGTAGATTTAAAAATCTCCTTGTTTATGCTATCAGAACCATAGCAATCAATGTTCAGTTGGTCAAGACCAATTTTATTTTTTTTCAGGCATTTTGAATCCACTTGATAGTCCCCACCACATGAGAGCAGACGACAATTGCCAGTTCGGAGAGGGTGTAGTGTTAGATAAACCTGTGAAGACTGGCAAGGGATCTTTTGCTAATGTTGGTCTTCTAAAGGTAAATCTATTACATATATTATATATTTAAACAGTATGTAAAGAATGGGTCAGAATGAAACTACATGTCATAAAAAATGCTTGGATACAAATTCTGAAACCTTCCTTATATTATCTATGAAACTGAGGATAATATGAATCCAGAAGTCTCAACTATCATTTTCAAGTTTTAAGTTTTCAGTGTTATCAATATTAAATTACATAATTGCCAAAATTGCCATATTTGTTGTTTGAAACTAGTAATATTCAAACAAACATGATATATTGTACTTTTTGTTTCACAAACATGATATATTGTACTTTTTGTTTCAAAGCAGCAGCTGCATAATTAGAACAATACAGTATTTAAAAACTTCAGAAAACTAAAACACTGCCTCAAATGAAAAACATATATCTAATTGATGTTCACCAGTACAAAACATGACTAGATCAATCAGATACACAATTCTGGTTTTATCTAGTGCAAAATTTGAGTTGTCTCCCCTTGATTGTTTTTACATAAGCTCCTCTCGAGTCGAACTTCAGTTGAGTTGAAATATTATAACTCTTGCGGTTTCAAGATAACTCCAGTCAACTGTATTTGAGAATTTCATATGTTTATTTCACTTTTTTGTAAATCTACATGTCATAAAAAATGCTTGGATACAATGCACAAATTCTGAAACTTTCCTTATATTATAAATGAAACTGATGATAATATGAATCCAAAAGTCTCAACTATCATTTTCAAGTTTTAAGTTTTCAGCGTTATCAATATTAAATTACATAATTGTCAAAATTGCCATATTTGTTGTATAGTTGCAACAACTACAGCAAGATTAGGTTTAAATAATTTGGTTCCAAGATAACACTTAAATGTTGAGCTTCACCAAAAAGCCTAGAATTGTATGAATCACACAACAGACAAGTAATGTTGATCATACAAACTGTGTTTATATGTTTACAGAAAGAAGTACAGATAGATAAACATATACAACCAGGAATAAGAGTTACAGTCAAATTATCTGACCAAGATCCAGGTAAAATTTATTCCATATTCTAGTTGTTCAATTTCCTTATTAATTCCAAAATATCAACTGCTATCATGTACAACCATCATCACGACCTACTTTGAGTTTTTATTATAATTTGCAAAGTTCATCACAATTACCGGTAAGTCCATGAAACAGAACATCTTCTTTTAAATTGAGGATAAGAAATGTTAACTATTACATAAAATGTAATTTCCAGACAGTTTGCACATAGCAACATACGTGTAATAATCATTTTATTTTAAAAAGTGATTCATGAGTTTTACATTTGCACCATACAGTTTTTCTATTACAATTTGCAGATTTGACATTTCAGGTCAACATTTCTTTAATAACTTGTTAAAATGAATAATTATTCCCTTGAACTAATGCAGTCAATGATAACAAAGTATTGTTTTATTTATAGAGAAAAAGAAATGGAAAGGCATAGTTGTATCACCATCTACACCACAGAAAGAAGCTGATTTGTACTGGGGATACAATGTCAGATTAGCCAGTAGTGTAGGTGTCGTGTTTACTGAGTGTCCATATAAATCTGGTTATGATCTGACCATTGGTACTTCAGAAAAGGGATCACATATAGATACATTTACAACATGGGAAAATCTATTTAACTATATTTAAGATGTGTCTTTAAGTAGAAGTATAATTTCTAATTCTTCAGTACAAACTATGGTAATTTGGTATCAGCTATTTTCATCCTCACTGTGCTGTCTAATTATCAGCAATTTTTACATTTCCCTTTGATCTTACTGCCATATATTTTCAAGATCATGGACAGGACTTGATACTCGAAAATATTAGGCAATGCCAAAATGTATAAGTACAGCAACGTCACATGTTCGTGTCCATCCGCTTCAATTTATCAATGAAATGCACACGACTTCATTCATACAACCCAACAGCTATCCAAACATTTTGTATGCGAAAAAGTAGTTTTACTTATTATTTCATTTTACTTCATATTCTCAAGCAAAAAAAAATACGTTTAAGAGAAATTGCTGATAAAAAGAATAATGGCATTTTATTTTTTGCTACCGACTTCATCAACTTGTCCTAACGAGCTCGCTTGATATTCTTGCTGATGAAGTCATTATTAAAAACAAAAATGCCATTATTCTATATATAGAAAGTCATTCTATTCAATGACCTAGACAAAAAAGCAAAGATCCAATGTAGATGTGCTACTGGTTATAACATTGAATGCTAAAATATATGTTAACGAAATTTGTTATACTTTACGTTAAAATGCCAGATTTTGATTGGCTAATATGAGGGAGATTATTATACCCTGGCTTTAAAAAAGTGGGGTTATACCCACGCTTTAAAAAAAGTGGGAGTATACTGTTTTGCCTCTGTCTGTCTGTCCATTCATCTGTCCGTCCATCCATCGTCAGTCCGTCAGTCTGTCCATCCGTCCCATGAAAATTTTTCGTCGCACATTTTTCAGGAACTACAATACAAGGATTTCTGAAATTTGGTTTCAGGTTTTATATAAGTCAGCTATACCGTGTGATGTGTTTTCAGATTCATCACTCAACAACTTCCTGTTTACTAAACACTTGTATCATTTTACACATGATAGCGAAGTTGAAAATTTTCGGCACATTTTTCTCAGGAACTACAATACAAGGATTTCTGAAATTTGGTTTCAGGTTTATACAAGTCGGCTATACAGTGTGATGTGTTTTCAGATTCATCACTCAACAACTTCCTGTTTACTGAAATATTTGGGCAGGGGTATCATCAGTGAGCAGTAGCTCGCAGTTTAACTTGTTTACTCTATTTCAATTTTTGAAAATAATCCTCCCATTCAGACAAATCAAAATTGATAATATAAAGGACAATGAATAGAATTTACATCAATAATTTTAAAGAAAATGCTCAATTGCTATATTTTGGCCTCCGAGCTTTTTCATAGACTGTCAAAATAAAAGATACAAGATCCCGGATTCGAGTCCCGGTTGAGACATGCGATTTTGCAAGTAGAATCATGCTCTCCGGTTACACATGTCTTCTGTTTAGATTATAGATATTTAACCACATCAATTTTATGTGTATTAAACTGGTCACATGACAACTAAACAATCTCTCCAAGGACTTTTGTAAAGAAGATGTCTTATTTCTAAGATGTTTGGTTATGTTAAGAGTTTGATCACCATATTGCCATTTAGATATATTGTATTTTAGCAAGAGTTTCTGTCGTTTAGGTCTTTTGGTTGGATAGCTCTCATGTTTCCTTTCAAAATTTTGTCATTATAATTGCAGCTCATCATATCAAATTACATTTGTTTATTTTTGTTTTTTTTTCATTTTTATCAATCTAAGATATGGAGCAGATTGTTCAGTTTTTATCAATCTAAGATATGGAGCAGATTGTTCAGTTTTTATCAATCTAAGAGGAACATGGAGCAGATTGTTCAGTTTTTATCAATCTAAGAGGAACATGGAGCAGATTGTTCAGTTATATAGGTTTTTTAAACTTACTTTTTGACAATTTGTAACATCTGTTTTCAGACATGCACTAGTAGTATTTGGTGGTGTTAAAGGTTTAGAGGCAAGTTTAGATGCAGATGAAGCCCTGAATGTAGATTATCCCAGCTTGTTGTTCCAACATTACCACAACACCTGCCCGTGTCAAGGAAGTCGCACCATCAGAATTGAAGTGAGTTATAGAGAAAGAAAAATTGTAAACAGATATTTTTGTTTACAGAATGCAGTTTAAGTTTAAAATTTTTTTTTTAATTGAAAAATAGAAGGCTTTAAAGTTATCATTCAAACGTAAAAGATTTAAAATATTCAATTATTATTATGTTAAAGAGAGTATACTAATAGTAAAGTAGGTTCTTGCTTTAGGGTAGAGTTTTACAATAAAAAATTGTTTTTTATGCCACCGCCGTAGCGGAGGGGGCATTAAGTTTTACCCTTGTCCGTCTGTATGTACGTATGTCCCAAAATTGGTTTCCGTTCTCTAACTTTAGTTTGCCTCAACCCAATATTATGAAACTTATACACAATGTTTATTACCACAAAACACAGATCATGTTTGAATTTTGGTGGCGTCACTTTTACCGTTCTAGAGTTATGCCCCTTTACAAATGGAAAAATTGCTGAATTTATCGTTTCCGTTCTCTAACTTTAGTTTGCCTCAACCAAATGTTATGAAACTTATACACAGTGCTTATTACCACAAAACACAGATCAAATTTGAATTGGTGGCGTCACTTTAACCGTTCTAGAGTTATGCCACTTTATAAATTGAAAAATTGCAAAATTTTTATTTTCTTCTAAATATTAAGTAATTTTTAAATAGGAGTTATCTTCCTTTGTCCATGATTATAGTTGAATCAACTACAATCAATGCTTTATACAATGCAATGTTTAATTTTGACTTCCACTGATAAAACACAGATCAAGTTGAATTTGGGTAGTGTCACTTTAACCATTATTGAGTTATGCCCCTTTATAAATCGAAAGATTGCAAAATTTTTAGTTTCCATTCTGTTACTTAAGTTTGCCCCAACCAAACATTATGAAACCTATACACAATATTCATTACCACAAAACTAAGATCAAGTACAAATTTTTTGTTTCTGTTTTCTAACTTTAGTTTGCCTCAACCAAATGTTATGAGACTTATACACAATGCTTATTACTACATAATACAGATTGAGTACGAAATTTGGTGGCAATACTTTTACCATTCTTGAGGTACCTCCCTTTATAAACACAAAAATTGCTGAATTTTTCGTTTCCGTTCTCTAACTTTAGTTTGTCTCAACCAAATGTTATAAAACTTATACACAACCATTCTAGAGTTATGCGTGTTTACAAATAGAAAAATTGCTGAATTTTTAGTTTCTGTTCTCTACTTAAGTTAGCCTCAACCAAATGTTATGAGACTTACACACAATGCTTATCACCACAAAACTCAGATCAAGTTCAAATTTGGGTAGCGTCACTTTTACCATTCTTGAGTTATGTCCCTTTATAACTATATGATATGCAAGCGGGGGCATCATCTGTGTCCACATGTGGACACTATCCACATGTATGTTTAAATATACTTTTCACTTTTTGGTCTTTTGGAAAATGTTGTTTGTGCTGTATTTAGACCCCTCTACCAAGAAATTTGTTTTACATTCACACGTATAAAAAATGCGGTTTTTATCCAATGCAATCATAGGTTTGAATGTTGTTTTCAATTTAGACTTGTTTATCAAAAGATATATATACAGCTAGTCTTAAAATTCACATATCAGACACTCAACACTATTTGATTAACATCTTAAAAGTTAAAATGAAAAGAAAAATTTGTATCATCATAATCTGGCACAGTAGCAGTACCCTTTAAGGAAGACATCATTAATCCTAATTTGTTATTCATTAAGCAATGAGTTAATGAAGGATTTTTCAAGTTATTGCCAAAAAATAAATTATAAAAATCTAAGCACTGTATAAAACATCAGTGATTTCCCACACTTTTTTCAAATATACAAAGAACTCATCGTAAAGCTTTTTTAACAGTCATATTTGGTGTTCAACAGTCTCACTGGTCATATGTATTTTATGGTTTGATTTGTAAATCAATATTTGTAACTTCAGTAACAAATTAAAAGGCAAAGACTATTTATTTCTTGAGAAATGATGTGAAAACATTGATGTTGTAGACTGTTTGTATACTGTAAACCAACTTGATTTTGTGGATACTTTCTTTCGAGCCATCTTCACGGTGATTTATGTTCCCTATTTTGTAATTTTCTTGAAGTCTTTATAAAAAAGAAGACCTAAGTTTTACAAATTGGTTACAATTTATATTTGCGTTTTTTTTTTTCTACCTGAGAAAGAAGTAACAATTAATTGCTCACAAAAATAAATTATTTTCGTGGATAATTTATTTCACGTTTAGCCCTTTTCAACAGACTTTGCCGCAATTTATTTTTTCAAGTTTTTTTTATTTTCTTGATGAATTTATATTGGGGGAGACCCAAGTGTCACATTTTTTCTAACGATTTATATTCACTATTTTTTATCTTTTCATGAAAATAAATTGCTTGCGAAAATTAGTTGGTTTACTGTATTCTATTTATAAACAAATGATACATACTAAGCACTCTATGTTTATATTTTAGGTTGGTTGACTTAATGTCCTGGAATGATTCAATACCAAGTAAGGGAAAAACACAACAACTTAAGTATGTAAAGAATAAGTTTGGCAGAGCAAGTTTGGTCCTTGGAGGTTACCGTTACAGTGCTAAGACCAAACGAAACAACAGAATTTACTGGCGTTGTACAATTGCATCCTGTAAAGCAACAGTTAACACACATGAGGGTCATTTGGTCAAAGTTGGCACACCATATAACCATCCAGCCTACCAGACAGGGTGGTTCAAAATGTAACTATGCAATGTTTTGTTACTTAATTTTGAATATATACTGTAAATTCAGAAATTAATGTGTGCATTTATTATTGCAAATCCTTGACCTTAATATTTTTCTTCACTTATTACATCTTTGTATGCCTTAGATTTGTTGTGTTTGGGTTGAACTTGTCAGTGTCAGGGAATAGGGATAAGAAAACTATTTTTTTTCATGTTTCACATCTTGATTATGTCTATGAATTTGATATAGTGATTAAACTTGCCTTTGTATCTTTAATTGACAATTATTATTTATTTAAGCAATTGATTTATTTGATTACATATACATGTATACATGCATATATGCAACTTAGTTTAAAAAATTTTGTACTATGGCAGTTACTATAGGAGCTCTTAATTGCAGGGGACTGTCAGAAGAAGTAAAACGCAGAGATATTTTTGATTGATGTAATAAAAAATATGATATAACTATTTTATGCGATACACATTGCACAAAAGAAAGAGAAAATAAATGGAGAAATGAATGGGGATACCAAGCCTATTTTAGCTCGTTTACCGGACACAGCAGGGGAGTTGCTATACTTCTAAATAATAAATTCAAAGTTATTGTTCATAAAGATTACAAACATAAAGAGGGAAACTATCTAATTTTGGATATGACCATTCATGAGTATCGAATAACTTTAGCTGGTATATATGGCCCAAATGATGATAATCCAGGTTTTTTCTCAGAAGTACAGGAGGTAATCTCAAATATTCAAAATTCTTCAATCATTATAGCGGGAGACTGGAATGTAGTTCAAGATTATGAAATTGATACAATTAATTATAAAACAAAAAATAATGTCAAAGTGCACTCTAAACTTATAGAAATAAAGAACTCCTTAGACTTGGTGGATGTTTGGAGAGCAAATAACCCAGACAAGAAAAGATATACATGGAGAGGCCCGGAACATAAACAAAGTCGTTTAGACTATTTTTTGATATCCACTGATTTTGAATCCTTAGTAAATAAATCTGATATAGATATTAGCTATCGTTCTGGCCATTCTCCTGTTTCTCTCAGTTTAAAATTTTATAACCAAGAAAGGGGGAGGGATACTTGGAAATTCAATAATAGCTTACTACATGATACTTATTATGTGGCTGAGATTAAAAAGTGTATATCAGACACTGTTAATCAATATAACCTATCAAATACAGATACGGGGGAAGAAACAGAATTATCTGTAGACCCCCATATATTTTGGGAGTTATTAAAATGTACAATAAGAGGGAAAACTATCTCTTATACTTCATATTTAAAAAATAAAAGTCAAAGGGAAGAATCTGAACTTGAACAACAATTAAACATTTTGCAAAATAGATATGACCTACACCCAGATCAGGAACTAAAAACTGAAATTCAAAACATAGAGGAGAGTTTAAAAACATTAAGAGAAAAAAAAATAAATGGTATAATTGCAAGGGCAAAAGCAAAATGGGAAGCAGAAGGAGAAAAATGTACAAACTACTTTTGTAATTTAGAAAAAAGACATTACAATGAAAAAATTATTCCTAAAGTTATCAACGAAAATGGAGATGAAATCTTTGATCAATTCAAAATATTGGAAGAACAGAGAAAATTCTATAAAAATTTGTACTCATCTAAAAATGCATTTTGTAAAATGGAACATGAAAATATGTTTTTCAACAAAAATAACTCTTTTATCAATTGTCTATCGGAAGAACAAATGTTAGAAGCTGAGGGAAAATTATCAACTCAAGAATGTCTGAATGCTTTAAAAAACATGAAAAATAATAAATCACCAGGGGTAGATGGGTACACAGCAGAGTTTAATAAATTTTTCTGGAATGACCTTAAGTTCTATTTACTTAATTCCTTTAATTATAGCTTTGAAGAAGGCTCTTTATCAATTTCGCAAAGACAAGGCATTGTTACATGCATCCCAAAAGAAGGGAAATCTAAGTTTTATTTAAAAAACTGGCGTCCTATCACCCTTTTAAATGTTGATATGAAAATATGTTCCACATCTATTGCAAATAGAATTAAACCCTTGCTCAAACATATTATTAGTGAAACACAGTTAGGATTTATTAAAGGTAGATACATTGGGGAATGTACAAGACTTATTTTTGACTTAATAGAAAGAACTGAAGAAGAAAATATACCTGGACTTTTACTGCTTTTAGATTTTGAAAAAGCATTTGATACGCTTGAATGGTCATTCATAAATAAAGCACTTGAATTCTTAGGTTTTGGTCCTGATTTCTGTATTGGGTAAAATCTTTATATTTCAATATCGAAAGTTGTATCATAAATAATGGTCATTGCTCTAGCTTCTTTAATGTAGAAAGAGGGGTTCGTCAAGGGGATCCTTTATCCCCTAACCTTTTTATACTGGCTTTGGAACTGATGAGTGCAGCAATGAAAAATAACCCAGATATTAATGGTATTAAGATAGACAACTCTGAATATTTGCTTAGTCAATATGCAGATGACTCAACCTTAACTTTAGATGATGATGAAAAGTCGTTAGAACAATCTCTATAAATTTTAGAAAAGTTCTCTGAGTGTTCTGGTTTACAAGCAAACTTAGAAAAAACAGAAGCCATTTGGATTGGGTCAAAAGCACATTCAAAAGAAATATTTCACCAAGGAGAAAGATTAAACTGGAATCAGACAGGGAAATTTAAACTCTTAGGTATAAACTATGATCTTTTTGCTGTCGACAAGACTGCCTATAATTTTGAAGAGAAAATTGAAAAGATAAATGCATTATTAAATACTTGGATTTACCAAGATCTTTCATACCTAGGAAAAATTACAGTCATAAAGTCTTTAGCATTGCCAATTCTCATTCAGTCATTAACAATATTGCCAAATCCCTCTTTTGAAAATTTTAAGAAAATTGAAAATATTTTTTTTAAGTTTCTATGGAATGGTAAACCAGATAAAATCAAAAGAAATGTTCTAATTGGATTATATGATACTGGTGTGCTAAAGATGCCTCATATTGAATCCTTCTGTTATGCACTGAAAATGACATGGATCTATAAATTATTGGACCCTTTCAATCTTTCTCCTTGGAAAATTCTTTTCAATGATAAATATAGAAAATATGGTGCAGATAAAATATGGATGATGAATAAGTATAGTATTAAACAAATTTCAATATATTTTAATAGATTTTGGAAGTACATCCTTCTTAAATGGGCCAAACTGAGGAATGCTGCCCATGACCAAAATGACTTTATAGGCCAACCTATTTGGTTTAATGCACTTTTAAAAATAGATAATAAAACTATTTTCTATGAAAAATGGTGTGAGGCAGGAATATTTTTTGTCAATGATTTACTGAATGAGAACAATGAATTTCTCTCTTTTAATCAATTTAAAGAAACATACGACATTGATACAAATTTTCTTCAATTCTATGGTATATATCATATGATCCCAAGTAGTTGGAAGGACCACATCAAAAACTGTGAAAAGAAAATCAACATTACTTGCGATAATTTAGACTATTTAAAAACAAATCAGAAATCATGCCCATATTTTTATAAATTATTTGTGTCTACTTATCATGAAAACCCCATAAAATCACAAAATAAATGGAAAGTAATTTTGCAAAGGAAATAGGTCACTGGGATCTTTTCTATATGCATCCTTTCAAGTGTTCTTTGAGTAATAAACTGATCATTTTTCAATACAAAATTCTGCACAGAATTTTATGCACAAATGATCTGCTATACAAGTGTAAACTTAAAGAAACGCACCTATGCAGTTTTTGCAATGAAACAAAAGAGACAATAGAACATATTTTTTGGGAATGTTACATTGTCAAAAATTTTTGGCTTCAACTAGTTGATACATTACATTCAGATAGCAATTATGAGCTTCTAATATCAAAACAAAACATCCTCTTGGGATCAGATATTATAGATATCTCTGGAAATTTTTTCACTGTTCTCATGAAGTACTATATTTATTCTTGTAGATTGAGCTCACTGTTACCTTGTGTAAAGCTTGCACTAAAGAAATTGAAAAATTATTATATTATTGAAAAACTTTCTTCCACCTTTCACAGTTCTCCTGCAATAGGTGAAAAAATAGAAAAAAAATGGGAACCATTTCAACAATTAATTTTATGATACAAGAAAGATAACTCATACTTAACTGAAAATAAATGTGTAACACAACTGGATGCACATCACAATTGGACAGTGGTTAGTGTGCATCCTATAGATATTATATATATGTATGTAAGAATTAAATGTGTGTTACTATGTTATGATAATAAGAGTTAACATACAGTTTTTTATATGATTTCCAGATATTGTCGGGAAGAGAAAATAACAGCAAAATACAAATGTATGTCATTATATATATAATTTTCTTTATGAGTACATGTACGAATAGAATAACTATGTTGCATCAATAATAATAATAATCTTTTAATATCAATTTAATCATATATGAATATAAGTTAATGATTTTTTTGTTTTTTTTTTTGTATGGGGAGGGGGATAATATAAGCGCTGACACTGGCAGGTCAAAACAAATAAACATGTATTGTATTCTTCTTTGATAGAAAAAATGCATATAATTATTGTATGAGATGAAGAAATACAAAATAAAGAATTATAAAAAAAAATCCTTGACCTCTGGATAAGATATGATATCCAATTAATGTGATTGCCAAAATTTAATGATGGAACATCATTACTGAAATTATGAATGCTAGTTTTTATTATTGCGAACCAGAAATTGTTGCATTTTTTGCATTGATATAAACATTGCAATAATTTCTGAATTTACAGTAGTGTTTTTTATATCAACATATAGTGTTTCATTTTTGTCTCGCCTTGACGGAGTCAAAAAGCGAGACATAGGTATGCTGTTTCCCACGTCGGCAGCGTCAACAATGTATTTTTTGTGATGAGGTCTAGTTCATGGTGAACCACTAGTGGTAGGTCAATGATATTTGGTATGCAGTTGTATTAGCATTGGCACATCTCATTACCATGGAGATTATTTGGCCCCGCCCCCTCAGTCAAGGTCTATTGACTTTTAAACTTTGCTTAGTTTACATGTATTAGTTTGTGATTAGGACAGTTTATGGGGAACCACTAGTGGTAGGTCAATGATATTTGGTATGCAGTTGTATTAACATTGGCACCACATCTCAGTACCATGGAGATTATTTAGCCCTGCTCCCTCAGTCAAGGTCTATTGACTTTGAAACTTTGCTTAGTTTACATGTATTAGTTTGTGATTAGGACAGTTTATGGGGAACCACTAGTGGTAGGTCAATGATATTTGGTATGCAGTTGTATAAGTATTGGCATATCTCATTTCCATGGAGATTATTTGGCCCTGCCCCCTCATTCATGGTCTATTGACTTTGAAACTTTTGCTTAGTTTTCATGTATTAGTTTGTGATTAGGTCAGTTTAAGGGTAACTGTTAGTGGTAGGTCAATGATAATTGGTATGCAGTTGTATAAGCATTAGCACATCTCATTTCCATGGAGAATATTTTATCCTTACCCCTCAGTCATGGTCTATTGACTTTGAAACTTTTGCTTAGTTTACATGTATTGGTTTGTGATTAGGTCAGTTCAAGATGAACCACTAATGCTAAGTGAATGATATTCGGTATGCAAATGTATTGGCATTTGCAAGTTTCATTTCCATGGAGATTATATAACCCCACCCCCTAATTATGGTTCATTGACTTTGAAACTTTTACATAGTTTACAAGTTAATGTTTGTGTTTAGGTTTGTTTAAAGGGAACGACTTATGAAAAGTCAATGGTATTTGGTTTGCAGTTGTATTAGCATTGGCACATCTCATTTCCATGGAGATTGTTTAGCCCTGTACCTTCAGTCATGGTTCATTGACTTTGAATATTTGCATAACTTACATGTTAAAGTATTGCTATTTTACATTTCATAATAAACCAATTATCTTTGAAAACTGGATTAAGAGTGGTATAATATACTTAAATGATATTCTAGATGACACTATGTCATTATCAGAAAAATATATTTTAAACAATAAAGTGTAAGGTAAACTGGATTGCAGAATTTCATATATTGAAACAAGCTTTTCCACAAAATTGGATTCACATAGTTAAACAAGAAAATTCTGTTCAAAGTACAGTAAATGTCAAGAGAAATAAGATCACATGGAAATATCGTTATTTTGAGACTACATGTTTTTCAAATAAAATGTTATATGATTCGCTAGTGAATAGTAAAAAAGAACCGTCAGTAGGGATAAACAGGTGGCCTAAAATTCTACCAATGCAAGAAGCTCCAAATATGAATTCACTATATAACTTTATTTTTAAATATTTAACTGAAAATAAATTAAAAATATTCAGATGGAAATTACTACAGTTTATTGTACCAACAAAAAAGCTTTTATTACAATGGAAAATAACTAATAATAATATGTGTAATTTTTGTAACATAGAAGAAGACTATGATCACTGTTTTTTCAATTGTTCTTATTTGACAAGATTTTGGCAGCAAACTTACGACCTCTTAAAAAGGAGTGATATAGATTTTTTAATAAAACTAGAACACCTGATATTTGGATACAAAATCACAGACAACAAATATTACTCAATAAATTTTTTTAATTACAATACTTAGTTTTTCAATATATAAGTCATACTATGTATCTGAGCAGAAAACAAAAAAACATAGACGTCTACAGAATTTTTGTCAATGAATACACTAAGAGAGTAGACACCAATATTAATGGACACAAGACAATAAGTCCAATGTTACTAACAATTAAAAGGAACATATTCAATGAATAATATTTCTAGTATTGTTATTATAATGTTTTGTAAAGAAAATGTATGTCAATTAATCTAATCAGCTGACTATTCCCTGGGTAGTCAGTGGATCATAACAGGGTACGTCAAGAGAAGCTTGGAATCTTGATGATTTATGTAACAAGCAATATTTGATGAATAAAATTATTATGTTGTTTAAAAAAAAAAATGTATTGCTATTTTAATTTCAACATTTGCATTTTCAAAATAACAAATAGGCGAGACATATATCTGTGTTAACAGTTTATTATATAATTTTTATATTTCCGTTTATTAATTAAATATGAAAATGTGGAGATGTGGTATAATTGCCTATGAGGCAACAATATATCACATAAGGACAAGGATGTACACAACTTTTTATCAAAAAATTATCCATTGTTTAAAAAATATTATTTGCAAACTGGCCATTTTTGTTTTTGATGCATATTTTTTATGTCATTGGATAGTTGTCTCATTGAGGTAGATGCATTCTCCTTTTATTAATGATCAATGATGTACAACTTTTCACTCATTTATATAATTTCAAATGATTTGATGAGCGAAGTTCATAAGGTTTTGTTTCATTAGTTGTTTTTATTACATTGTTTTAGTTTTTTTACATTTCAATAGTTATTTTTTACATTGTAATAGTTTTACTTTGTATAGTTTTACATTGTTATAGTTTTACATGCAATAGTTTTACTTTGTAATAGTTTTACATTGTAATTATAAGTTTTACATTGTAATAGTTTTAGTTGCAATAGTTTTACTTTGTAATAGTTTTACATTGTAAAAAGTTTTATTTTTTGTTTACATTGTTACAATAATAGTTTTACATTGTAATAATTTTTTTTGAGTTAAATAGGTTTTTTTTTACATTGTAATCCTTTTTTTTTTACATTATATTATTAAAAATAATTTTTTCATTACTTGTATCTTGCAGCAATGAACCACCAGAACTGTCCTGTGACAGTCAGCAAAGTGAAAATAAATCTATGTCAGAAGAATTTATAACAGCGGGTCAAGAGACTCAAGATGAAAGTGTTCCACTTCACTTGGAATGTGAGAAAGTGTTTTCAGTAGACAGTGATGACGAACAAGGTACAACAGGTTTGAGATCATGAGTTTGATGTATCATTAAGAATCTCAAATTTGATCTATTGAGGTCTATCCCTCTGGATCTTATGGTGTGTTTAGCCTTTAAAAAATGGCTGAAACCAATTTAAACTTCTCTTGGCAACAATAATCCTTGTGTTCAGTTGTAAAATTGTATCAACATGGCATATGTTTTTATGTTTTTGCTTTCGCCTAAGATGCATCGGTAGATTGGGACAAAACAGATTGGTCTTACAAATTGAAGTTTTTGCTGATCATAAAACACAGTTCAACACACATGTTTTTTTTAATGTAAGATGCCTGTACCAAGTCAGGACTTTAGCAGGCATATTTTCTACAATTACAATTTATGGCAAATGTTGGCATATTTTTATGACAATTTTGTATTTCTACAGAATTCTGTTTCAGTTCAATTTGTAAGTTCAAATTCAAACTGTGATGACAACAGCATTGATACTCAAAAGAATAGTATATCCTCTAGATCACATGACAAAAAACTAATGGTAAATGTGGACAACTCAATATCTCGATCATGTGACCTTGACAACTCAGCATCGTCCAGATTATATGACAAGAAACCAGAAGGGAACGTTTCAAGACTGGATACTCACATGGACAACTTATTGTCTAGATCACATGACAGATCACATGATTTGGAAAACTCATCACCATCCAGATCACTTGACTTGGATAACTTGGAGTCATCTAGATCAAATGACAATACATCAGAGGTAAGTTACAATGTTTAGACTTGATGATCACATGAATAAGTCATCAGCTCGATCACATGACAGATCACATGAACTGGATGACTCATCATCGTCAAGATTAAATGACAAGAAATCAGTGGTAAGTGTGTTTAGACAGCATTCACATTAATGACTCATCAGCTCAATCACATGACAGTTCTCATGTTATGGAAGACTTATCGTCTAGATCACATGACAGATCTCATGACCTGGATCACTCATCATCTAGATCACATGACCTGAATAACTCATCATCTATATCGCATGACAGGTCACATGACCTGGATAACTCATCATCACCTAGATAATATGATAAGAAACTTGCAGGGAATGTGCTTAGAATTGATTCGCACATGACTTTTTCAGTATCTAGATCACAAAAACAAGGAATTAGGGGTAATCATGTTACACTTTGAAGGTCATTCATGCTTGACTTGTGTTTCTCAAATCATATAATTTTTATCATCGAGGACATACTAAATATCTTAAAATGGAAATATAATGTGTTTTCTGAAAGTAAAATAATTTGATTCATAACATACCAAAAATGAAAACTATAATTTAAATCAGGATTTAAGATGATTTTTGGAGACTCTGCAGATATGCACAAATTATCATTAGGTCATACAAAAGATGTTTTGACATTAATTTCAAGTTAGCTATCATAAGCATCCTATGGAACAGCTATGTTACATATAAAGCTATTACACTCTGTATTTCCAGCATTGTGAGCTCAATATTTATATTTGTTGTATTTTTCTTTTTGTAAGTTAATGGAATCGCCTGGAAAGGAAGAAGAAGTACAACAGACGCCAGAACTCTACTCTTCAGTCGATGAGGAACATATATTGCAGGTACAGTGGCAATGTCATCTGCATACCAGCCAACTTTTGAAAATCGCCATGGGGGTTTTTGTGTGCAACAACATTTTTAAGGGTTACAATTTTTGTGTCGTTTTTGTATGTCTGTGTTTTACTCTAGAAATGTGTAATTTTTCTTCTTTTTTCATATGGTATACTGATGATGAGCTAATAAGCCCTTTTCTTCTTTTTTCATATGGTATACTGATGATGAGCTAATAAGCCCTTTTCTTCTTTTTTCATATGGTATACTGATGATGATTCTTGTACTCATCCTAATGTGTAGAAAAGATAGTACATTAAGTTAGATTAATTACCAGCAAAATCTTTTCTTGTGTAGTTATAACTGACTTTTCCATATATAAATACGGACAAAGAACATTTATCTGAATTTCCTCGTGAAAAATAAAGGACAAGATTTTTAATAATTTGAAAATTTGATAACAATAATTATGACTATGTATGGACCAGTTACAATAAGTGTAATGTCCAAATAAGCTACTATTTATTATGTTTATGGTAGCACTGCTCTCTTCAGCTCAAATTTTATCAAAGAAAACACACTTCATTGACTTGTATTAAACTTGGTTCATATTTCAATAGTCTGATTTAATTAACTCAAAGATATGAAAACGTCTTATGAATAGTTCTTTTGTGTTACTGAATATGCTTGCTTGACCGTCTTGAGTTGCTCATTATCTGGTTGTACAAAGAAGTTACCGACAGACTTGGTAGTGTTCTGAGCTGTGAAGAACTTCTGATGAAGTTGAACAGTCCTTGCCTGCTTTACAAGGCATGTGTTATCCCTATTGTAAAATTTGTCAACCAGCCTCTCAATTGATCAACGCTTTACTATGTAGGTGACTTAAGAACTTTCTTGCAAATTATAATTCAACAACCATTATCATAATTTTGACAATTTTGACAATTTTGAAAACAGACAAAGGAATACAACTCAAAACTTCCAAACGAGTTTCATTCTGTGGTTTTTTAAAATGCACCAATTAATCAGGAGATGAAAACGTAATCACAGAAAAAATCCAAATGTGATTTGCTATTTGTTGCTGATCTTAATTGTCTCCCTTGGGAAAAGTTAAAAACCGGGAATGAACAAATTTTTCCTGTAGGTTTTTACAAAATTTTGTTAAAGGACTTTTTTCACAATCACGATCGTGCAATCCTGACAAGGGGTCAAAGTTGTGTAGTTCATGCCAAAATAATGAAAGTTGGCAGGTATGCATCTGGTAAATAAACACAAGGTACTGTAACACATAACAGTAGTATCATGGTATATACTATAATTACCCATTTATATTTTGGAGTCCTTTTATTACCTATGTTACTTAATCCCAAGTATTGACTGGGGTAAATATGGTATTGAAATATGGTCATCCCTTAATTTCAAGACTAGAAAAATAGTGAAAATATAGATCTTAATCAAAATTAAAAAAATCTTCTGATAAACCATTATGAAGTCAATAAGAAATGAGAAATAATCTAACAGCCTGAATGAAACAATTATGACAGATGGCAACTTATGACAACAGGCTCCTGGATTGGGACAGGCACATACAGAATGTTGCTTGGGTAAACATGTTTGCAAGTGTGGAATCCTCCTCACAAATTCAGTTAAAAGATGTCATAAGCAGTCTGAGAAAAACATGATCTTATGCAATGCAATGCCAAAATATAAGAATCTGCAGGATGAAAGACATCAAGTTTTAATGACTTGATAGGAATACATTTTTGTTTAGGGGCCAGCTGAAGCCCGCCTCTGTGTGCGGTATTTTCTCGCTTTGTTGAAGACCGATTGGTGGCCTTGGGCTGTTTTCTGCTCTTTGGTCGGGTTGTTGTCTCTTTGACACATTCCCAATTTCCATTCTCAATTTTATAAGAGTTTATAAGAGGCAATGATAAGAAAAGAAATTACCCAAACTAAATGAATTTTTATACAACATAAATTTGAAAAGCATTACATTATACATAAACACCTGTAAGTTTTGATATCAACAATTTTTTTCTTTTTTCAGTAATGAAACCAAGAAAAGTTTACATAAGGAGACCCCCTCGGCCATTTACATATGCCTCTTTGATACGACAGGTAAGTAGTCCAACTACTGTATCACTAGCCTGTCAAGACTGAGGTTGTGAGTTGGAACCCCTCACATGGCAGGTGCATTTGACTCTAATCTTAATTGACTAGGATTGTCAGTTTATTTGCAAAAGGTCACTGGTTCTCTCTGGGCACTCCCGCTTCCTCCACCAATAAAAACTGACCACCATGAAATAGCCAATAGTGCTGAAAGTGAGGTTAAGCACCAACAATCAATTAATAGATACCACAGGTAATATTACCGATGAACACTGAACACAAATAAAAATAAAATTACAATCATTGTTTACAATAATATTGATGGTTTTTCAAGGTACTATTTACAAATTGGGGCAGTAAATATGAAAAGGGCAATTAAAAATGAACAAAAACAGACAATATTATTGCTGAAAGAAAAATGATAAAAAGACAAACATCAATCCACTCAACACATCATTGAAAACTAAAGATTAAGCAATACAACCCTGGAAAAAAACAGAAGTGATTCCAGATGTTCTATAGACTTGTTCATGTCCCTTCCTAATTTATTTTTTTCAATTTTGCCCCTGTAACAATTTTACTGCTATAACTAAGAGATTTCCATTATACTGACATCTGCAGAGGAGTTCTCTGTCAGTTTTCAGTAAACATATAAATTAGTAAGAAAGAAATTAAAGAAAGGGAATTGTAGCAAGTCTAGGTGTTTTAGAAAGGTCATTTGTTTCTGCCCCACTAGTTACAGCAAACAAAATCTACAGATTACTGTTATAGCTGTTAGAAATTTTACAACAGAAGGTTTACTTTGAAATAAAAGTGCAAATCACCTGTCACAAAAAATCTGATAACTGCAAAATAACATTTCTCAATTTTACATCAAGATACAGATAAGCAAGAAATCATCTCCTTCTGTTGTGTATTAAGAGATTTATTATAATTTGCAGAATCTTTTTTTTTAGATGAGAAGTTAGCATTAAACTCCTTTCTGTAAAAATTTTAATTTTGGATTTCTGTTTGAATAAAGTGAATATAAGGTGTGTGAAGTATATGTCAGTGAGACATCAACCCAGCGACAAAAATAACATAAAAACTTCAACATACTGTGTTCAACAATTCACAATTGTTCATATAAAATGTCATGCTCCAAATCGTCTGTAATCTATAAAAGTTGTATATAGATTAAGCAGAAACTATCAAGATCTGCCACCAATCAAAAAGTCTTGAAAAAAAAAACCTAAAAAATAATGATAATATTTAACATCTTAAAAATCTGTTTCAGAATTGAAGCTACTTTTTGACAGTTAATTTAAACTGAATTGCTAAACCGCAATTATCACTTTCAGCCTTCTAAGGGCTATTCCATTAAAATGTATGTGGGAGGGTAGGAAGGGACTTTCAAAATATCCCTACAACCAAGAACCATTTTTTAGATAATTTTGCATAATGGTTATAGACGCATACTGAAAAAAGACCCATGACCACATTCAATAATTAAACTTCCCTTCCTACCCTCCCACATACATTTTAATGGAATAGCCCTAAGTATGATTTTGCCGAAAGGGTAAATGATAATTTGGTGTCTTAATTTTCTGGATAAGTTACCCATTACTGAAGTCTGGTTCATCTGATAACACTATATTAATGAAGAGAAACTTATAACAAAATCTGTACAATGACTTTTTCACAATTTTGAGATTCTTTAGACACATTTAATTTCTTGGGATAGAATTTTGCCTCAATAAATGAATGCTGTGTTTGTGAGCTCCACTGTTTACTGTTGATGTAAATTAAAATATTCAATGTCACAGACTAGAAATTTATACACAGGCAAATTTCACTCACATCAATTTCACTTGAATTTAAATTCATGTGAATCTCACGTGAAATTCACGTGAATTTCACCTCAAACGAGCTTATACTTGAAACTCGTGTTAAATCAATTCAAGCAAGTTTCAACTTTCAAGTGAATCTCATGTGAAACACACGTGAAAATCACATGAATTTTTTTCACATGAAATTCACGTTAATTTTTAAAATAAAGTAATTCAAATAACATCTAAATTTTCAAATTTATTTAAAAAAATGAAAAATACCAATTTCTTTTTTGTAAAGTTCACGTGCACTTTCATGTAAATTTGTCTCAATGCTTATGTTATTACGTTACAGTAAGAACTGAATTCCTCTACACTTCCTACTAAATACATCTCAAATATCTAATTCTTCCAAAGAAGTTACTTCTTTAGTAAACATAGCCAACAAAACAGCTATAGAAGCCTTGAAAAACGGTGAAGTTTACATTTATTATTATTTTAAATGTGTTTACATTATCCATTTCACTTATTTAGATAAAATTATGTTAATAAGACACGTATATCAGAAACATATATCCATCCGAATACACATTGTAAGACTGTAACGAATCACACGTGGTGGCTGTTGAATATTTCAGTGTCAATTTTATTGTCTATCGATTTTAACATAACAAGGTCAAATCAGGCCAGTAAATTAAATGCCGTATTCACAGGTAGTGTGTTTTATTTGTTACCTGTAATTATATGTAACCTGATGAATTGTACTTTTTATGTTAGTAGAAATAGAGTGATGTATATTGTCGATTTCTGTATGATTGTTATAAAAATGTGTTTTAACTGTACTGTTTGTAGGCATGTACAGTTATGTGAGGAGCTATTACAAAAATATGAAATCATACTTTGAAATGGCATCTAAATTTTTGATAAACTTAAGTAGTTTAAATGTGAATGGTACTAAAAATAAAGCTAAAAGAGACAGAGTAATTGAATGGATTAAATCTCAAAACTGTTCTGTTTGTTTTTTTACAAGAAACTCATTTTGATGAAAACATAGAAACAGAAATAAGAAATAATTCAGAGTATGATATATTTTGCAGTCACGGAACGGCCTCTAGTAGGGGTGTGGCTATTCTCATTAAAAAGTCACTGAATTATAAGTTGATAAATAAACATAACGATGTAGATGGACGATTAGTTCTTCTTAATGTAGAAATTGATGAAAGCGTTTTTACACTAATGTGTATATATGCACCTAATTGCAAAAGTAATAGAAATATATTTTTCAAAAAAGTAAATAATATATTAAAAGAACAAGGGATAGGAATAACAATAATGGGTGGAGATTTCAATGATACTATGAAAGCAATAGACAGAAAAACTACTCGTTCAGAGGTAAAAAATATCCAATCAGTAAATAGTTTAAAATCTTTAATAAAAATAAATAACTTAACAGACATTTGGAGATATTCAAATAAAAATAAACAACAATATATTTGGCGAAGAAAAGATAAATCACAGGCAAGTAGGATTGATATGATTCTGATAGGCTCAGACTTCATACCACAAGTAGAATGTTGCAAAATTAAACCTGCAGTTATTGGTTCTATGGATCATCAAAGTGTTTTTATGAAATTTAGAACTGGTGCATCAGAAAGGGGAAGGGGGTACTGGAAAATAAATAATTCTATATTAGAAGATAATGACTACATACAATTAGTTAATAAAGAAATGGATAGCTGCTTTATGAATAATCGTAATTTAAAAAACCTTGGTTTAGCATGGGATATATTTAAAATAAAGGTAAGGGAGGCAACTATAGCTTATTGTAAAACTAAAGCAAAATTTACAAGAGAAAACTTACGAACTCTTGAAAAAAAATTAGAAATAAAATTGAAAATTAGAGATGAGCAAGAATCTGAGAATAACATTTTAGATAAAGATATTGAAGAACTTGAAAATAAAAATACCAAAATTTACGAACAAAAGGCTAAAAGGGCTCAAATTAGATCACGAGAGAAATGGGTTGAATTTGGGGAAAAAATAACTCATACTTTTTAGGTTTAGAAAAACAGAGGCAGGTAAAAAAGTCAATCAATAAATTAAAAGGAGAAAATGATGAGATTTTAACGGATCAAAGTGATATACTATGTAGTATTAAAGAGTACTATAAAAAGTTATACTCGACGCAAAGCCCTGATAAAACATCAAGTGATAAATATATATTTGAGACAAAACTAGAGAAAGAAATGGATGAAAATGATAAATCAGTCTGCGATGGGGATATTACAGTAGAAGAAAGCTCAGATGCTATTTATAAAATGAAACTTAATAAATCTCCTGGATTAGACGGATTAACAGTTGAATTTTATAGAAAATTTTGGGATAAATTTAAGTACATAGTAGTAAACATTCTTAATATTGGATATAAAGATCAAACACTTACATATTCACAGCATACAAGTGTATTAACGCTATTATTTAAAAAAGGTGATCCATTGTCACTAAATAATTACCGTCCTATTTCCCTTTTAAATATTAACATGAAGCTTCTATCGTACGCTCTAGCACAACGATTGAAAAAGATCCTACCAAAAATTATTAAAGAAGACCAGACTGGATATGTAAAGAATTGATTTCACTGATTTATACAAAATTGAAGGGGCTATAGTCTTTGTTGATTTTTCTAAAGTGTTTGTCTCTTTAGAATGGAATTTTATGTTATCAGTTTTAAAACATTTTGGATTTAATGATTCTTTTATAAGATGGGTTAAGACTTTATATAGCGATATTCAAACATGTGTTATGAATAATGGTTGGATATCTGAAGTCTTTAAAAACACCAGGGGTATACGCCAAGGATGTCCTTTATTGGCATTATTATTTGTTTTATCGGTGGAAATCATGGAGTCAAGATTAAGAAGCAATACCGATTTTAAAGGTATCAAAATCAAATTGGATTGCAAAAATCATAGCATAAAAATTTCGCAACTAGCAGACGATACTACTTTATTTTGTTGTTCTAAATATGACGTTCAGTTAGCTATGAACGAAATTGAAATATTTGGTTCTTATTCAGGATTGAAATTAAACAGAAATAAAACAGAGGGGTTATGGGTAGGAAAGCTTAAATCATGTAAAGACAAAATTGAGGGAATCAACTGGAAAATAAAATCGAAAAGATTAATAAATTATTTTGTTGTAGGCAGAAAAGAAATCTTACTATTTTTGGAAAAATTTTGATTATTAAAACACTAATTGTGCCTATTTTCACTTTTGTGGGAACTGCCTGTATAGTTCCAGAGAAATATTTGAAAGAAATAGAAAAAAGTTGTTTTAAATTTGTTTGGGATAATAAAACAGATAAAGTAAAAAGAAATTCAATCAATAGTCCATATGAAAAGGGGGGATTAGATATGATAGATATAAGAAGTTATTTCACTGCTTTAAAAGCTATGTGGGTTAAAAGACTAGTAACTGATTGTGAAGGAGGTTGGAAAATTATACCTCAGCCATATTTTTTAATTTTTGGTCAAACTGGTTAGTGTTTCAAACAAACAGTGGGGATAAGCCAGACGAAAGCCTTGAAAATATCCCAGATTTTTATAAAAATATCCTTAAATGTTGGAAATTAACTGGAGGAGGTCTAATGAAAAAACCTGAAACATTTACAGATATAAGAAAACAAATATTATGGAACAATAAATTTATTAAATTTGAAAATAAAGCTATAGTTTTAAAAAATTGGATTAAAAGCGATCTTATTTATGTAAATGATATCATAGATGAAAAAGGCTGCATTTCTCAAGACATCATTTTTAATAAACTAAAAAATAAATCAAACTGGCTAGCTGAAATTAATTTGGTAAAGAAATCAATACCAAAAGACTGGGTAGCAATTTTAATGTCGGAAAATTCTGTAAAAAGTACTGTAAATATAGTCAAAGTACTGAAGTACTGAACATCGGATGACCGCAAGTTATTGTGGATGTCACAAGCGCTTGTCTCAGAAAAAAAATCACATATTTATACCTGAAAGTGAGGTTAATGTACATATGTATTTTTTTTCTGAGACAAGTTCTTGTGTGGAAGATAAATAAATTAAAGGGAATTCAACATCACCGTAATAACTATTATATATATATATATATATATATATATATATATGTATTGTAGTGGTACCAGAGACATATAATACAATTGTATTATATGTCTCTGGTGATACGTATAGATTATTACATGGCATTTTTCATATCAGACCCTTTATCGGCCCTAGGTCATGATATCAGCCCAAGAGCCGCAGGCTCGAGGGCTGATATCATGAACGAGGGCCGATAAAGGGTCTGATATGATAAATGACATGTAATTATCTTTTTATCATATACTTCAACAGAAGAAATACAGACAAGAACTATTAATTAAAATTTTGTCTTTCCATGAATTTTTAGATAATAATTTACAGACAACCAAATACAAATGTCTTAACTTTTATTGTTTTTATTGATATTACAAGCATTTTATTTATCTTGTCACAACAATTAACATGTTCTTAGTTTGAAATTTGCTCCTCAACCATTTTGTGAAAAGTCTTAAATCACTTGCGGTTTTCCGCACTGTGTTGTCGTTTTCGAACAAATTTCCGGAAATGCACGAAGTTGCATGTGATAAACGTCACGGAAATTAATGGAAAGGCATGTGATAACATTCCGGAAGCAGTCAATAAAGGTTCCTTTATCAGCCCGCTGAGGAAATTCTTAGGAATCTGGTCAATAAACCTAGTAATCCTTTCATAGCCTTTTAATATTTTTAAATGTTATTGAACAGTAAAATTTTAGTAATATTTTATACAAGTATATGATAAAAATCAATATACTCTGGTTTATATTAATATTAATATTTGTATATTACAGTTACATGTATATATAATTTTCATCCATTTGTATATCATTCTATTCTACTAATTATTAATAGTGCAGTGCAAGTGCATGTTGGATACTCTTCTATAATAATTCGATTTTTCTTATAGATTGGATTTGAGTAGGCATTCATATTTTCCCGCAAAACGAGAGAGCAAGGACCAATAACTCTGCATGTATCTGTATATAATCTTCACCTCCTTTATAGGAGATTGCAATCGTTCTTGAGATATTCTTCCGCATGCGTTAACACAATTTTTCTGTACGTCTGCATAGATATTAATAATTTTTACTTACATACATATAAAACATTTTAATATTATTAAATTATGTTCAAAAAAAAATATTTGATGAGTATTCATTGAAGAAATGAATATATAGCAAGCGATAAGGAATGTAATTTTGCACTCGATGATGTCGGCCTATTATCATGTTTATAGATCGGTTAAAAACCCAAAACTAATTTACATAATGGAAATTTAGGCGATAGCAATACACCGGAATGACCTCACAGTCATCCGCTGTAAAAAGAAACCAATTTATATGGAGAGGTTTACCTATAAAATTAGAATCATTATCAAACAAACTTTTATATAAATCTCTGATAAATAAAAAATTTGAACCAGCTATTGGACCCCAAAAATGGCTGTGTATACTTGATATAGATGATGTGTTATATCGAAACAATTTATATAAATTTTTATTCAGATATTTAAAAGAAAATAAACTTAAAATTTTTAGATGGAAATTACTACAACATATTCTACCTACAAAGAAAATTATTCAGGTGGAAAATTGTAAACAATAGTTTTTGTAACTTTTGTACACAAGAAGAAGATTATGATCACTTCTTTATACTATGTCCGTATTTAGAACATTTTTGGAATAAAATAAATGAAGTTTTAAAGAAGAGTAAAATAACTTGTAAGATAAAATTAAGACGTATGGTATTTGGATATAAAACTTCAGACGAAGAATATTTTGACTTTAACTATTTTTTAACAATTGTTGGTTTTTCAATTTACAAAGCCTATTACATATCTGATCAAAAGACAAAATATGTCAATGTTTTCTCAATTTTTCGTAATGAGTTCAAAAGAAGAGTATGTTTGACAATGACAATTAAAAGTAATGTTTTAGCAACCATTAGAAAACATATGAATAATCATTATGAGTGATATTATTTAATATATATTTGATGTAATATAAATTTTACAACTAATTTCTGCCCTGAGTGATTAGTGAAATGTAACAGGGAACATCAGGAGGAGCTTGGACTCCTGAAGGATATTGTAACAAGCCAATAATTGAAATAAATATTTAATTATGTTGTTAAAAAAAAAATGAACTGAATGTGCAATGATGTTGTTTAAGCCGATTGACCTGGGGTCAACTGGTGTTGCTCATTCATAAAAAACAACTTGAGATTGGAATATTTGACAAATATTATCCAAAATCAATTACGTGTGTCTAAAGCTTAAAAATATTGAAATTTATTAAAGGGAGGTAACAAACAATTTTTCTGTTTCAGGCTATTGTAGAATCTCCTAACCGTAACTTAACATTAAGTGAAATCTATCGATGGTTACACAATGCATATTCATATAAACAGATTGATGATATAACCACAATGAAGGTTAGTATGTCATAAGGCTCTCTTTCTATCTGTCTTATTATCAATACCAGTTCTCTGTTAGATTGGAAATCAAGATTCTATCAATTTAATTATATTTAGTATAGATATTGATTCTCATTTAAATTTTGAAATCAGGATCCTATCAGTTTAATAATTAGCAGTTGTTTTAGTTTAATAATTGGCCGTTGTTTTAGACTATTAAATATGGAAATTGAGATTCTATAAATCTAAATATAAATAGTCATTCTCTATTAAATTTGAAATTCAAATGATGATATTTTTTAGATTTGAAAATAGAGATTTTTTTTAGTTCAAATTGTTTTATATAAAGATAAGAAGATGTGGTATTATTGCCAATGAGACAATTTTCTCCTGAGACCAAATGACATAAAGGTTAGCAACATATGAATAAATCAACAAATATTCAGTAAGGTTTTTCATAACTGATTTATTAAAAGAATAAAATAAATATGTTTATAGTTTAACGTGTTTGATCAACATTTAAAGAATATTAGGAAAGTCACATTCACACACACTCACACATCACTTTTTGTGTCTCATCTTTTTAAAGAGGTTTAATAAGAATGTTGTGATCACTCTCAGTTTATTTTTCTTACTTTTGACATCAAAACTGAATGCCATGTTAGAATACAAAAAGTAAAATCACAAAAATACTGAACTCCGAGGAAAATTCAAAAATGAAAGTCCCCAATCAAATGGCAAAATCAAAAGTTCAAACACATCAAACGAATGGATAACAACTGTCATATTCCTGACTTGGTACAGGCATTTTCTTATGTAGAAAATGGTGGATTAAACCTGGTTTTAAAGCTAGCTAAACCTCTCACTTGTATGACAGTTGCATCAAATTCCATTATATTGACAACGATGTGTGAACAAAACAAACAGACATAATAGGTAAAAATGGCACAAACAGGGGTACAACAGCAACACGAACCCCACCAAAAACTGGAGATGATCTCAGGTGCTCCGGAAGGGTAAGCAGATCATGCTCCACATGTGGCACCCGAAGTATCTGATACAAGTGTCTAATGGCAACTAGTGTATTTATTATTTAACTCTTAATGAAAAAGTGAGGTTGTGAGTTCGAACACTGCACCTGGCAGGTGCATTTGACTCCAACCTTAATTGACTAGGGTTTTCAGTGTTTCTGACGAAGGTCTGTAGTTCTCTCTTGGCACTCCAGCTTCCTCCACCAATAAAAATTGACCACCACAAAATAGCCAATAGTGCTGAAAGTGGTGTTTAAACACTAATCAATTAATTAAAAGCTGGTTTTCCTAAAAGATATTACATTTTTTGTTATTTTTGCTTGTAGAACAATGCCAGACAAGTTCTGAGTTTTAATAAATGTTTTGTCCGAGTAACAAATGAAAAGAATGAAGGAGTATGGACAGTTAATGAGAAGGAATTCGACAAACTTATTGCACCACATAGAAGATTAGATGGGTAACATAATATGAAGTCCTTCAAACGGTTTGGGTCCATAAAATTAGTATATATTGTATGTCAGCTGATCAGCACATCATGTGTTCTTTTGTCTGTTTCAATTTACTGCGATGTTATAGGCATTTATAACTAAACATGGAAACATATAAACAGACTTTATGATACAAATTTGTTGAAAGCATGATTTCTTAAGTAAAAATCTGTTTGATTAAATATGTTTAGTTCCTGTAATTGAAAATCATTTAAGTATGTCACTTATTCAGTTTTCTATGCTTTTTACAAACAATATTTGTAGTGTGTTCAATTATGGGAACCGCAAATATTTGTCTTGGTCCAGAGAGCTTTGATCTGATCACTATCACTCATCGTAAAATATTTGAAATAAAAGGCCAACCCATGGTAAAATCAATATAAATTCAAGCCCCTATAAGTTATTTCTTAATTAACAGTATCTGGGTATAATTCAAATCTTATTTACAAAATATGTTATCGTACTCAATATGCATGTAATATTTGCTACTGGCTATTAAGCAGCCACTTAACTATCTATATTTGTATGCTAGTTGCAGTGATCTTTTCTACCTTTTTATTTTCATTGTTGCTGTTTAACCAAAAGAAGCAGTGAATCTGTAAAGAATTCCAATTCAGTGATTAAGGTAAGTAAACATACACATATAAAAACAAGAAGATTGCCAATGAGAGGGATCTCTACCAGACACATACATGTTTTGCTCAAAGTTCAGGGTGTTCGTTGAATTTACTTTTTTTTTGCAAAAATTCAGTATTAGCAAACTGAATCATAAGCGATAGAAGCATAATTAATGTAAAAAAATTTTCCTAATCATTTAGCCTCAATCACGATGTAATATCACTATGAATAAAGGAAATTTGTGGTATACACCCACAAAACAAAAACTAAACAACAAAAATAACCAAAAAAACATCTAGAGGGTAACATATATACACATGATACAATCTATAACAATAGATAGATCTATATACAATATGTTTTTGTTACCAGTTACTTTAAAAATGTTGGCTAGAGTAGTGCAAAAGCTTGGTTTTACTCCTGGTACTTTTGATAATGCAAGAGGGGGCAATCTTTTTTTTTTCAAAACCAATATGTAGAAGATAAAGAGAAACTGTAAACAGCCAAAAAGGATCAGATAGACAAGACAAACAACAAAGCAGAAATTGTCAATGCACTTCTTATGGAATTTATTGTCCTTGAATGACAATTTTAACCATTTGTTTGTATTCTGGGCGAAAACTAGATATAGAGAAACTGAAACCATGGTCAGCAATACAAGATCAACGAAATGAGATTTTTTAATTATATCTAAGTCTCCAATGTTGGAAATGTGCATAGATCCAGGTAAGCAACACAGGCTCTTTAGAGCATCTAGTTTATTACAGCCTTTACTGAATATCACAGACATTGGTGTAAATTTTGACATCACAAGAGAAAAAGTATGACACCACAGTGTAAAAGGGATTGTTATATGAAGTCAAAAAGTCAAATATCACAAAATCTCAAATCAAGTGTCAAAAAATCCTAATAGTAATAAGATATATAGATTAATCTTAAGTTGTTTTTTATGAATGGGTTTCTCTAGTTGACCCAAGGTCAATCAGTGTAAATGATGTCATTGAACAATCATTTCTTACTGTGATGTTGTAGCATAAGCATTGGTTTTTTTTCCAGAACACCAAACAGCAACCAGAGCAGAATGACCATCTTTACCAAATATCACAAGAAGCTGCTGTAAATTTTGAAGTTGATGACTGTAATGAAGAATTATCAAGAAAAGCTGGCCAACCAGAGGACAATGAACATCATTACCAAGTATCACAGGATACTGCTCTTAACATTAATGTTGATGGCTGCAAGGAAGTATTACCTAGAAAAGCTGGTGAACCAGAGCCTGTACAAAAACTACAGAATCTTGTGAACAAGTAAGTTATCCATAAGTCATGGCATTGTTATTGTAACCCATGTTCCAAAGGAGAGGCTATTCTGCTTTACTCCAGTCCATCTGTCTATGTGTATTCAGTCCATCTGTCTATGTGTATTCACTCCATCTGTCTGTGTGTAACCTTTTGTCTGTCCTATGAAATTTTTATTTTATTTGTCATGAAAATACAAATGAGACATTCTTGAAATTAGGTATCTAAGTTTGTGTTTTCATGCTATACCATGAATGCTTCTTAGGTCTTCGGAGGCAACAATAGGCAGGCTTTTTATGCCCTCGCAACTAAAAGTGGGGGCATATTGTTTTACCCCTGTCCGTCCGTCCGTCCCATCAGCGGTATATAGTTATTCAAGATATTTGCTCTTTTGGGAAATAGTTGAACTTTGTCATTTTTTAGAGTATGTACTTGCATAAGAGGTGCATAGCGTTTCCGGATAACTCCTCCTACAGTTTGAATGCTAGGAAGTTTTCACTTTGCTGGCTGTTTGTACATATATTGAAGGTGTGCATGTGGTCAGGGTTTTGATTTTTATTAATATTTGCTCTTTTGGGAGATAATTGAACTTTGTCATTTTTGGAGTGTATACTTGCATAAGAGATGCATAGCGTTTCTGGATAACTCCTCCTACAGTGAACCATAGACCTATGTGCTTCCATTGCTCAACTTTGTGTATTTTTTTTTAATTATTTTCTTTTCATGATTTACATGGACATGATATAACAATAAATGTGGCAAAGTGACAAAATTATACTAAACCTTGACTTTATACATACACATACAGAGAAATAGAATAAAGCACAATTATTGCTACCCAAAAGTAACCTTTTACTATCAATTAGCTAAAATATTTTATCAGTTGATCAATTTGAAAAGATGAATCCAAACTTCCAAACTTTGTTAGTCTAGTATGTTTTTTAATTTTAGTTCATTTATATGTTTTGGAGTTTAGTGTGACGTCCATTTTCACTGAACTAGCATACAATTTTAGTTAGGGGCCAGCTGAGGACCACCTCCGGGTGCGGGATTTTCTCGCTGCATTGAAGACCCATTGGTGGCCTTCAGCTGTTGTCTGCTCTTTGGTCGGGTTGTTGTCTCTTTGACATAATCCCCATTTCCATTCTCAATTTTATTCAATAAGGAAAAACATTTTAGAAAATTAGTATTGTGAAAGGACAAAGCCTTTTGAATATGCACATTGTATAGATATAGTCTGGGGTTAAAGTTTTATTACCCAATTCAGGCTTGTATAGTCCACGGTTTTATTCTCCAAAATTGAATCTGCCACAAGGGGTGCAGATTATAGAGTATGATAAGCAAGAAATAAGAGAAAAATTTGATTTCGCAAGGTTTGTTTTAAGTTCCACCAGGTTTGTTATTGAAATTGTAGAGGGTGATCTTATGATTTTCCAAACTAATAATTTACCTAATGTAACAGTGCGAACTATACAGGGCCAATTACGGTAGAAATCAATAACTTTGTCAAACCTTCATGAATTTTATGAAATTGGAACAGAAGCTTCTGTATTAATAAGAGATAGCATCTGATACAAGATTTTGAAAACATATTTTTTATTTTTCTGTATTTTACTGATAGATGGGAATAGTATTTTTTAATTACCATTTGGATACATTCTGGAGTTAAAGTTTTTTAGACATCAAATAACTTGGACAGAACTGAAGTTTAAACATTTTTTTTTTACTTTTCTGTGTTTTACTGATAAAAGTTTTTGCAGTTAATATTCAGATGCTTTTTTTTTTTAAGTTTTTAAAACTTTAATAACCTTTTTCAAACCTTCATAGAATTTCTTGAAATTTTTACAGAAGCATCTCAAAATCAAAAGTTACTATCAAGAGTAAAATTTACATTTTGTTCATCGTTTCGCTGTACTTAACTAAATAATGGACTTATTGTTCACCTTAAATATTTAGGTACAGTCTGTGGTAAAAGATTTTAAAACTTAAATATCTTTGTCAATTCTTCATGGAATGTTACAAAAGTTGGACAGAGGCTTCTTTATAATCAAGACATAGCATTCTAAGCAAAGTTTTCTTCTTTTCTGTTCTCAGTATTTTTACTAATAAAAGGACTTATTTTTTGTCAGTCAACATTCAATTTATACTGCCAACAGCAGTCCAGACGAGACAAAGTGTTCAGGAGAACCTTTTTAATTTTTTTTTTATATTTACAGGCCCAAAACACTCCTTCTTTCATAGTTTTTATACGCCCGTCAAAATTTTGACGGGACGTATTATGGTATACAAATGTCGTCTGTCCTTCTGTCCATCTGTCTGTCGGGCGTAAACATGTCGCACCGTAACTTGAGAACGACTTATCCAAATTTCATGAAACTTAAAATAGTTGTATCTTATGAAGGTCAAACGATCTGTATACTTTTTGGTGAAAATAAGATTAAAACTTTTTGAGTTACGGGACTTAGTAACTAAAACAGGTGTGTGTTTTTTTTCACATGTCGCGCCGTATCTCAAAAACAATTTATGATTATTGCTTAAAACTTTACACACTTCTTAGTTATATTAATCTTAAGATCTGTATACTTTTTGGTTGATGATTCAAAATTTTATATTTGAGTTATTGAGTATTTTGTAAAAAAAGGGGGAGGGTTTTTTTCACATGTCGCGCCGTATCTCAAAAACGATTTATGATTATTGCTTAAAATTTTACACACTTCTTAGTTATATTAATCTAAAGATCTGTATACTTTTTGCTTTTGATTCAAAATTTTATTTTAGAGATATTGTTTTTTTTGTAAAAAAAAAAGGGGGTGTTTTCGCAAAAATAATTCATGCATTTCTAGGTGAACATATGGAAACAATTATTATGCTTTATACTGAAAGATATTTCTCTCTTTTTAGGAAGCTATTTTGATCACATTATCATCACTACGACCACAACTTCACAGGAACAGATCTGCAGATTCATGACAAAAATAAATTGTTTGTTTTATCATTCTTCATTTTATTTGATCTTCCTTTTAGATATGATTCCATTGTTGTGCTGGATGATATTCTACTTTTGTTAACTCACTTGACACCTTATCTTATGGGCCATGTTAGCTGTTGTAATCATTCAGTGTCAGTTGTTAAAAAATGTTTACTGGTATGATACGGTGCTTTTTGTCCGATTTTGCTTTTTATCCGATAATTTTGCTTTTTGTCCAACACTTTTGCTTTTTGTCTGTTGCTTTTTGTCCGATAATTTTGCTTTTTGTCCGACACTTTTGCTTTTTGTCCATTTTGCTTTTTGTCCGATAATTTTGCTTTTTGTCCGACACTTTTACTTTTTGTCCGTTGCTTTTTTAGCTCACCTGGGCCAGAGGGCTAAGTGAGCTTTTCTCATCACTTGGCATCCGTCGTCGTCTTTGATTTTTACAAAAATCTTCTCCTCTGAAACTACTGGCAAAATATAAGCAAATATGGCCAAAATCATCCTTAGTGTAAACATATTTTATTAATTAAATTCAAGATAAATAATGTACACAATTTGGCATTTACATATTAATACAATTGAATAATTAATAGGATCCGGAAACAAGCTGTTAACTTGTATTAATCCGTTTCCTGATTCAAATAAGAACATTTCATATTGTAATACTCAAGGAGTAGAATGTATAAAATTAAACTATGTTGCACTAGATGGAAAACAAACAAGACATATAATAAGGTTGTGAACACAAGAAGAGAGAAAAAAAAAATCAGATACATCGGAAGTACAATGATAAAGTGCATGTTTCTGAACGGACACAATTATTTAAGATATAAATATGCACTGTAGACTTGTTGAACAAGATGTTTGAAATTATATGACAAATCTTTTGCTACTGAGTATGAATGTTTGAACTGCCAAGAATATTTCAATGTTTTGTTCGTAGCTGAGTTCCGTTGAACCGTATAGCAAAATTTCTTCTGACAAGAAGTGTATGATTCTGATGTTTTAAAAATGCTGTTCATGCATGATGTGAAATCGGGGACAGTGCAACAAGTCATGCGCTGTTGTTTCTATAGCACCACATAAACAAAGTGGTGAGGCCACTATATTTTTAACAAAAAGATGTTGATTTAGAGAACTTCATTGCATTTGAAGTATTGAGTGATAAATTTGACCTAATCGCTTACCATGTAATAATAATCATCCTTAGGGTATCTTGTTTCAAAAAAATATCCGATGACACCCCCCCTCCCCAATAATCAAGATGGCCGCCATGTCTAAAAATAGAACATTGGGGTAAAATGTAGATTTTGGCTTATATCTCTAAAACTAAAGCATTTAGAGCCAATCTGACAGGGGTAAAAATGTTCATCAGTTCAAGTTCTATCTGCCCGAAATTTTTCAGAAACATCAGACAACGCGTTTTTGGGTTGCTGCCCCTGAATTGCTAATTTTAAGGAAAATTTGCAGTTTTTGGTTTTTAATTGATTGGAGTTTTATTTTTAAGTCGTTATAACGACTAAGCTTACTTGTTCTAACGACTTAGCTTACTTGTAATAACGAGTTAGCTAACGACTTAGCTTACTTGTAATAACAAGTTAGCTAACAACTTAGCTAACTTGTTTTAACGACTTAACTTACTCGTTTAAACAACTTAACTAACTTGTTTACTTAAAAACTACTTATTGTAAATACACAGAGTTATGTTTGATTATAATATTTTTATGCCCCCGCTGTAGCGGAGGGGGCATTAAGTTTTACCCTTGTCCGTCTGTCCGTCCGTCTGTCCATCCGTCTGTCCGTCCGTCTGTACGTCCCAAAGTTGGTTTCCTTTCTCTAACTTTAGTTTGCCTCAACCAAATGTTATGAAACTTATACATAATGCTTATTACCACTAAATACAGATCAAGTTTGAATTTTGGTGGCGTCACTTTTACCGTTCTAGAGTTGTGCTCCTTTACAAATGGAAAAATTGCTAAATTTTTCATTTTTGTTCTCTAACTTAAGTTTGCCTCAACCATATGTTATGAAACTTATACACAATGCTTATTACCACAATATACAGATCAAGTTTGAATTTTGGTGCTGTCACTTTTACTGTTCTAGAGTTATTCCCTTTACAAATGGAAAAATTGTTAAATTTTTCTCTTTTTTTTTCTGAATATCAAGTCATTTTTAGCTCACCTGGTCTGAAGGGCCAAGTGAGCTTTTCTCATCACTTGGCGTCCGTCGTCCGTCGTCCGTCGTCGTCGTCGTCCGTCGTGGTTAGCTTTTTACAAAAATCTTCTCCTCTGAAACCACTGGGCCAAATTTAACCAAACTTGGCCACAATCATCATTATGGTATCTAGTTTAAAAAAAGTGTCAGATGATCCCGCCAACCAACCAAGATGGCCGCCATGGCTAAAAATAGAACATAGGGGTAAAATGTAGATTTTGGCTTATATCTCTGAAACCAAAACATTTAGAGTAAATATGACCGGGTAAAACTGATTATCAGGTCAAGATCTATCTGCCCTGAAATTGTCAGACAAATCTGACAACCTGTTGTTGGGTTGCTGCCCCTGAATTGGTAATTTTAAGGAAATTTTGCAGTTTTTGGTTATTATCTTGAATATTATTATAGATAGAGATAAACTGTAAACAGCAATAAGGTTCAGCAAAGTAAGATCTACAAATAAGTTGCATGACCAAAATTGTCAGTCAACCCCTTTAGGAGTTATTGCCCTTAATAGTCAATTTTTAACAATTTTTCGTAAATTTTTGTAATCTTTTACAAAAATCTTCTTCTCTGAAACTACCGAGACAAATTTAACCATACTTGGCCATAATCATTATTAGGGTATCTAGTTTAAAAAATTTGACCGATGACCTCGCATTCCAACCATCATGGCCGACTTGGTTAAAAATAGAACATAGGGGTAAAATGCAGTTTTTGGTTTATTATATCTCTGAAACTAAAGCATTTAGAGCAAATCTGACATGTGGCAAAAATGTTCATCAGATTTAGATTTATCTGCCCTGAAATTTTCAGACGAATCCGACAACCAGGTTGTTGGGTTGCTGCCCCTGAGTTAGTAATTTTACAAAAATTTTGCAGTTTTTTGTTATTATCTTAGATATAATTATAATATCTAATATCTAATACTATTAATTATGATTTTAACCCTATTTTACATGATTTCCAAAGCATCAGTAAATACAGGTGAGCGACACAGGCTCTTGAGAGCCTCTAGTTAAAATTGAAGTTATCTCCCTTTCTCCATTATTATAGTTGAATCAACTACAATCAATGCTTTATACAATGCAATGTTTAATTTTGCCTTCCACTGATAAAGTAAAGCAATTTTTACCTTTCATTTCTAAAAATATTTTAAAGTCTTCTTTGAAAATTGGAGTTATCTTTCTTTGTGCATAATGGCAGTTGAATCAACTACACCAATGCTTTATACAATGCAATATTCAATTTTACTTCCTACTGATAAATTAAAGCAATCTTTACCATTCAGTGCTTACAAGCACTTTGATTACCGTTCTAGGGTTATGCCCCTTTACAAATGAAAAATTTGCTGAATTTTTCATTTCCGTTCTCTAACTTGAGTTTGTCTTAACTAAATGTAATTTCTAAAAATATCAATGTCATTATTCAAGTAATTTTTATACGACCGACCGCAAAAAAATTTTGTGGTCGTATATTGGTATGACGTTGGCGTCGTCGTCGTCCGAAGACACATTGGTTTTCGCATTCTAACTTTAGTTTAAGTGAATGGATCTCTATGAAATTTTAGCATAAGATTCAATACCACAAAAGGAAGGTGGGGATTGATTTTGGGGGTTATGGTACCAACAGTTAAGGAATTAGGGGCCAAAAAGGGGCCAAAAATAAGCATTTTTGTAACTTCCAGACATAACTTGTGTGTTAGTGTATGAATCTCTCTGACATTGTACCACAAGGTTCCATATTACAAAGGGAATGCTGGGATTGATTTTGGGGGTAATTGCCTCCAAATTTTAGGAATTAGGGGCCAAAAAGGGGCAAAAAACAAGCATTTTTCTAGTTTCATGACAATAACTTGTGTGTAAGTGTATGGATCTCTCTGACATTGTACCACAAGGTTTCATATCACAAAGGGAATGCTGGGATTGATTTTGGGGGTAATTACCTCCAAATTTTAGGAATTAGGGGCCAAAAAGGGGAAAAAAACAAGCATTTTTCTAGTTTCATGACAATAACTTGTGTGTTAGTGTATGGATCTTTATGAAATTGTACTACAAGGTTCCATATCACAAAGGGAAAGCTGGGTTTGAGTTTGGGGGTAATTGCCCTAAACGTTTAGGAATTTGGGGCAAAAAAAACTATTATAAAGTTTCGAACATGTTCGTCTAAATCTTTGAAAATCCCATGTATTCTACAAATTCGAGAAGGTACACCATTGCTAACACGTTTGAGGATGACAGACTAACTTACGACCAGAATGAATAAGCGTTTGTCTTTATAACACGATCTAAAATATTCCTTGTTGTGTAAAACACTAAGAATGCCAACTCCTCACACGTACAAATATCCTTATATCTTGCCTTCTACTTCTCCTGTTTATGTCCCCTTTTTTCTATTTCTTCATTTTTTTTCCACTCATCTAATTATTATGTCTATTTTACAAGAACCCTGTAAAAATCCGTGATGATTTATGGTTTTCAGGAAGGGTAAGCAAATCCTGCTCCGTTTGTGTCGTATTATAATCATATTTTGGACAAGACTTCAGTGTGCCAGGTCCATTAATATTATGTTTAAAAAAGACATATGTTTAACTGAACTTTCGAACCAGTTGTCTTGGAAGATCTTTAATCCAAGAGGGTCCTAAATAGTTGCTTTTTGATGACCCTACAAGGAGTTATAATTTAATTCCTTGCGAACACATTCATAAGGACCGAAAATTCCCATCTGCATCTTTTAAAAATTCCGAATATTGTATAAATTGAACGGGATACCCCATTTCAAACCCAGCGTCTCGGAAAATCTCA